ATGAAAAGGGGGAAAGGAAGTGAATTTAGGTGGAGCGCCTCCCAGATTATGAGGCCACATGGGAGCATTGGAGAGGATTGCAGTTTGCAGTTTCTGCCTTCACACCTTGAGGACAAGGTGGTACTTTGGGAGAGGGGTAATGTTATACCGGTCCAGCATGGACCGGCATAACAGATAGATTTCTGAACTCCTATCTCTGACATTAATTCAAGGAATTTTATAAAAAGATATGAATAAAAATGTATTTTTTTTTGGGTTCAATGTTTTCACCGGTAAACTTTTAGTATGTTGTTATATGTTCCAATCTAAATGTTTTGACTATATCATATTTTCACCAGTAAATTTTTCCTATGCGAAATTCCGAGTATATGAAATGACGCTTTTTGGGTATTAGTGATAGTTATATAAAAATCTTAAAATATTAATTTGAACATTCCTATGAAGTTATAATTAGAATTAAAAAAAAAGTTCAATGAGTATATTTTTATATAAGTTGTGGCTTGCTGATAACCCTGGAAATTCATGCATTATTTGAATAATGCATTAAAATCATAATTACTTACTATTGCATTTAAATTTGCATAATCCATACCATGACATTGAAAAAATTATGAATCCTGAAATGTGAAAAGTGCACTCTCTAAAATGAAGTACGGGCCCTATATATGTTCTACTCTGGCCCCATCTGCCTTGTGTGAATGTGAGAGAGATTCTAGCTCCACTTGTTGAAAACGAGTGTAGGAAGTTACTCTGTTCTGCTCTGTTTTGACCCCACTTGTTGTATGCGGGTGTGGCAGGTTAAAGAGTGAAAATAGAGTTATAGTAGACATCGAGACATGTATTATATATATTTATGCATTACATATTCTAAGAACTTAATAAGTCAAGCACAAATGATATTCTGATCTTGTTCCAATAATTTCTAAACCTCTATGTGAATCCTGATAAAATGAGAAAGTGTAAGTAACACTCAGATGGCAAATGCTCTGTGACATCTCTAATAATTATGTGAATGTAAACTGTAAAACTGTAAGTAGTGGCTCCGAAATCAAGTACACTGATAATTCTAAGAAATCATGTTACGTGAGTACATATTTTTCACTGATTGTTGAGTATTTAATTAAATTGTTGTATAATATTTTAATTGGATATTGACATCTGTGATAAGTTGGTGATAGAAAACTACTGAGCAGGTTGTGCTCTCTATAAAACTTTCTGATATTCCAACAAGAAATCAATTTGTAGACATTCTTAGCAAAGGACTCTACAACCCTACATTCTAAAATATTTCGAGTAGATTTGAAATGGTAGACTGTTGCAATTCAATATGAATTTTGGATATAGATTATACTTAAAACAAATAAAATTAATTAGTAATTAGTTATATTAAATTTATAAATTTATATGTGACTTAAATCTTATTAAATGTGAATTAAAATTAATGATTGAAGATGTTTAAATTTAAAATAATAAATTATATTATTTGTGTATGAAGTTTATTTATTTATATATATAATTTCATAATCATTGCTTAATTATCTTATCATTTATATATCATTTTAATAATTTTATTATTTATTACATCATCTAGTTTGACCCCGATTCAACCTTGGTCGAATCATTGAATCTTGAACTTCTCTTTTTTCCAATTCTACCTCCAATCCAGTTTTTGCAAAACTGCATTATACACACATAAATACATAAATATAATCAGGTAAAAATAATGACTTATGAGTTATATAAATAGGATTATACATCATGTTATGGCACATGGGGGTTAACATACTACTTTACTTGCAAATAGCAATGAAAATCTTGAGTCCTAGAATAGGCACTATTTTTTTATGCAATTAATATTACTTTGACTTGATAGCTTGATGACATCAATTACATCATTTATTATATAGTTACTCAAGCCTTTTTGATGCAGGACTACAATGCTTTTGAATGAATGGACTAAGAAATCACAAGATTTTAAAAGAACAAGAATAAATAAAATTATTAGCTAATTAAAAGGAAAAGAGAAAACGTATGAACGGTCACACCATTTAGGCCAAATTACATACTAAGCGCTTGCAACATCAAAACAATAGCGAAATTCAACAACATACGCATGGAGTAGCTTCAAAAAAAATCCCTAATCTAACATTAAGTTAGTAACATAGAATGTGCACTCAATCCTACGTTTACTAAGCTTAAGTAGAAGGCGAAACGCGACTCCTTGGGACTTGTCACCACCTACAAGGTTAAGGGATTAGGAAAATAAATGAAAAGAGGAAGAAGTTCACCCTTGGGTAGTATTGGAGACTATTTGCCACTGGGCGTCGGCAAGTTGCTCGTCGATGGACTCCGATAGCGTGAAAATAATACGATCCACTTACCCTTCGATGGAACGATCAACTTCCGGGTTGAAATTGAAGGGGTGGATTGGAGGATACTAACTTATCCTTGCTTCTCGTAAGAAAATCCGTAGTCAAGCTCCGGATCGGCCATTCATTGGTTGTGGAAAGGGATGTGTAGTCAAAGATCAATGTCAATCCTTTGAAGCTCCATTAGATAGAAAGAAGTTTCTCTCAAAATTGAGGTGGAGAGGAGGGTGGGGTGGCCCGCCAAGAGAGGGAGAGGGATTTAATTTGGTTCCAATTTGGCGGAGGGAAAAGGGTTCCAAACAATGCTCTAATTAAATCCTATGTTTGGGAATAATTAAAGAAGAGAGAGAGATTAGAGGCGGCGGCAAGAGAGAGATTTGTTTCAAAAAATTAATATTATGTTTTGGAAAATAATTAGTGGGTGTGGAACTTTGGTAATTTCGGCCAAGAGAGGGAGAGGAGTGACTTGAATTCTTTCCAAGAGAGCAACTTGTATTTTGGAAATAATTTCCAATGGAATCCAAGAGGAGGCTGGCGGCAATAGGGTGAGGGAGGGGAATTTAAGGAGGCATTCAATGCTTTCCTAAATTAGTAAATTAAATTTGGAATGAAATATTTCATCCCAATTTAATTCAAAATTCAAATAGGCTATGAATTGGAAAGTTTCCTAAAATAGGATTTCTAATTTAGGCAACTATTTCAAATTCAAATAGATTTGAATTTGCTCAATAATAGAGTTACCTAAAATAGGAAAAGCTAATTTAGGAAAAATTTGATGGCAAGTTGAAGATGGAGGGAAAACCAAGGGGAAGGGCCGGAGGCATGGGCTTAGCCGTGAGTGGTGGTGGAGGGAGATGGGATCGGGTGTAGGTGGGATTGGGAGCTAGCCACCGGTGAGGGTGAAAGGCTAAGGTAGCCGGCGGCTTAGGGGTGGGGGAATCCTTGGCCGACAACTATAGGGGAAAAGAAGAGGGGGAAGAAAAGTAGAAAAGAAAGAACCATGAACCCGGACACTTCTAAGGTTGGTGGCCTCTCCAAGGGATCTCTCTCCAATCTCTCTCAAGCTCTCACAAGAACTCAAATACGGGCAAAATTTTATCATTCATTCATTAACTTTCAAAGAGAAACATAGGGGCCATAATTAGCCTCGTACATAGGACTCAAAAAAAGAAAGATGACAATGCCCTCAGGGCTTACATACAACCTCCCTTAAGGGGTAAAAATGGTAAAACAGTTACAACATAAATACTAAAAGACAAATAACATAATAAAAGACAAATACAAGAAATTACTCAAAAATACATCGCCTCAATTCGATCGTGGCCGTCGATCAATGGCCACGTCTCTGATAGACTTTCCAAGCCCTGATGTCCCCATCACTCTTTTATTGTTCGCACCGCATGCTCTATTTTTTGTCATTTATGTTTTGATAGATAAGAGTCATTTGCTGGATTTGAGTTATCAAACTCGCTCGTAAACTTCTCACATAATATATTCTATTGAGGTGCTTGATGGACCATCACGAGGAGAAAAGATTTTTTAGCAGTGAAAGTGCATTTGATATTTTAAAGTTGATGAAGTAGTTTTAATTGTATTTGCTTTGGGTTTGGATAATTTTGTTTCTATAGCTATTTCTTTCTGTTTCTTTTTCATTTAGTTGTTATTTTGCTTCTTGGTTGTACTCTTGTATGGACTAAATTATCTAAATAAAATATTATTATTTCATTGCTTACTCTTACTATTCATCTTACTTATCTATGAATTTTTTTTTTAGTATAGAACAGATTTTCATATATTTTCATCACAACCCTTTTTATTCGGGTGTACTGCCTTCTGGATCAGGATTTGACATTTAACAGTGATCTCTAGATGGTTTATAACAAATTGGGCCAGACAAATCTAACCAAAGAGCATTTGCAGCCATGAATCTAAATCCAAAAATGCAAAATTTATCAATTGCAAGGTTTTGGCTCAAACTTCATGTTTAAGAATACGAACAGGCATTCAACTAAACCAAATATTTATACATAGATTTCAGTTACCATAGCAAGGATACCCACATTAAACAATGATAAATGTGAATTCAAACGCTGACAGCCACACGAAGGACTATTCTTTACACTCAAAATTTAAGAGATTTATTTCAAGCTCTGCAGGAAAATAGCACATTCATAACCTATTTGCCATAATAAGGATCACTTTGTACAATTCTAACTTTCTTCTAGGAATATTTCATAGTATTAAATACATGCCAGAACTTGTTAGAGTTGGCGTCTGAGATCTTAACTGCTTTAAATTATATTTTATAATAGTAGTTGAATGTTTCACTTCGTATTGACAGCCTGCTTGCTGTCCAAGGAATGAACAATAGCCTACAGACCGTCTGTTGCATACCGTTCCATTCCAAATTATGCATCCCAACGCAGAATGCATGTGCACATATACAAATTAAAACATAATGCTGCACTATTTACTTTTAATCTATTTTCAGAACAGACAATAAAGGCCAAATTACTTAAATAAATACAATCAACTACAAAGTTTTTGCTGAAAGCAAAGAAGAGAAACCAATCATGAAAACATGAAATTATGTAAAACTGAATTTTTTTTAAGAAAATCCATGAAACTCACATGATTTTGGCGTAGTTGGACCAAAAGTGAATTCAGAAATTCAATGATACTCTCCCAATGAGTGTTCATAGGTTGTTGTAGAGAAAGTCCAGGTGATCTAGAAGCCCTTCCAGCTGGTGCCCGATTAGATTTAGGTGCCTTCACATTAAGTTAGAGATTATTACATTATACTGCACTTTCTTAATAAGCTTAGTAAAATTAGATTCAGCTATTCTAACCAGCCAAAAAATTAAAATAACAAGATGTGGCAATCAAGTCAAAGAATTAAATTTCCTTCACATGTAAAAGTAGAACTTAGTAGACATTTTCTATAAATACTTTCCTAAATGCAAATCTTCCTTATCATTCGGTTATGGAGCCATTCGGCTGTTTTGACTACTATGTTTAAAAGTATAACAAACTAGCTACTGTTCTTCATTTGATTACATTATCTTTCATCATTTAGCAACTTCTTTTTCATCAACTGAATGGTCAATACTCACCACAAAAGGAAATCAAGACGAGCATTAAGTCTAGAACTCAAGAAAAATAATTTTTAAAATTGTGCTATTGAGCATTTAAACCTTTTTCGTCCACGAGGCAAGGGGAAAGCCTAATAAAACAAAAATTAGGCAAAGTGAAAATGAAGATTAAAAGTAATTTTTTTTAATAATAATAAAATAATATATTAAGGGATGACATTAAATTTCAATTGAACTAAGCAATAACAATTTGCCATAAATATGAAGCTAAAAATTGCACAAGATGTAAAGTGGTAAGTAATAAATTGTGTAATAGAATTGAAATTCAAACATCACAATAGCAAAACAACATAAAATATACTATGTAATAGGAGATGGAGAAGGTAGTGGTGGTGGCTATCCCTAGGCAATCGCATGCGGCTACAGTAGCAAGCTTGCGACAGGGAACTCATGACTAGACATCAAGGATAGGATCATAGGAGCTACATCCTAGGTGTGATGGGTCCGTGTGCAGGTGCATGTGTTTAGATTAGGTTAAAAATTAATAATTTTTATATATTTATAATTTTAAAAATGAATATACATGAGGCATACTGAATTAGGACTACGTGATCATAGGATGATATTTATATTTAAAATTACACGCCTGCGAGTGAGAAATAACAATTAGTAGCTTCTTGCAACTTAAACAAGAGATTGAAAACAAGAAAGCAATGATTAGATTCAAGCAGTCGATTATGAGCTAATGATAGGAGCATAAAACAATCAAATCAAATCTAACTTAGCTTTATGTGAGGCTTTCAAAGGAAATCCCTTGATTAACAATTAGATTAGTCACTATTAAGATCCCTCACACAAACTCATAATAAGGGCTAAGCGGAGAAGCTTTCATAATTCTAATGATGCCAAGATCGAGGAGTTAGAAGAATAAAAGATTCATAAGAGAGTTCACCTTTGTCAAGCTTCTGAACTTTGATGTAGAACTTTGTCGAACTTCTAAACTTTGCTCCAATGTCCTTTAGGATACGAGCGATGATCGTCAGTGAGTTCGCTATGAATCCAACACCTTGCAATCGACGATGGATAGACGTGCCCTCATGATTGAGGTGTAGCCTGCCCAACGGAAGAGTGGTGACTTCGTCTTCTTTCTTGAGGGAGGAAGAGGTGAGGAAGATTGGAAGAATAATTAAAGTGGGAGAGGATGGGGGTGGTGGCCGACCATAGGGAGGAGGGGAATGGGATTTTAATTCCAGATTTTGGGTTTTGAATAAGGGAGGGAAGCAAATTCCAAATTCTGAAATTAATTCAAACACTTTTTAAAATCTGGAGTTCTTTTCTTGTCTTAATGGGCATGACAATTAGGGCAAGAATTAATGGGGAATAATTGGGAATTAATGGAAGCTTTAGCGGGAAGATTGATTGGGAAAATTTGTATTTGAATCTCTCCAAATAGGAAAGAGAGAGAGAAGGGGGGGGTGGCAAGCATTAATGGGGCTGATTTGGGGGAGTTAAATTGGGAAGGATCATGATGGAGGAGAGAAGGAGAGGGGCGGCAAAGGCTAGAAGGAGGTGGGATAAATTGGAGGAATTAAGGAGTTGCCCATTTTAGGTTGCTAATTAAGGAAAGGAGATTTATGGCAAACCTTATTTGAATTAGAATTAGCATGATTGGAGAGCTTTCCTATTATAACTCACTTTCTTTCAGGAAAGGAAATTCAAATTCAAATAAATTCAAATCTGAATTTAAATGACTTTACAAATTTGCAATGAGTTAAATTAGGAAAGTAGTGATTGCTAGGTTGAAACTTTGAATCCAAGGGGTGGAATGATGGGCCCGGTGGCTTAGGGAAGGGAGGTGGGGCCGGCGGTTGGATAGAGTTCGGCCTAGGTCTTGGGGTGGAGTTCGTCCAAGGGAGAAAAAAGAAGGTAGGGGTGCGGCTAAAAGGAAGAGGGAGGGGAAAATTGGCGAAGGAGATGGACCACGAGCCCAGACGCTTCCTGCGGCTGATGGGTAATACATTGCCCTCACCTAGGGACTTCAACTCTCACAGGAACTCTCAAACTCTCAAACACAAAGTGCATAATTTTCTTTTCATAATAATCATCATCCTCCTCCAAAGAGGAGAGGCTATAAATAGTCAAAATACAATTAACTCTAAAGACGAAAGTGCCCCATGGAGTCACATGAGCGTACTCTGTCAAGTGAGGATAAAAACGAAAAAATGCATAAATAAATCAAATACAAATAATAACTCAAAAATAAAGTGGTCAAATCAAGGCCGTAGATCTTCGGCCTCTTCTCTGATAAACTTTCCACAGTCAGATGTCCTCATCACATACGCCTCACCCTTTCAGGCGAGATGCGCCTCAACTAGACTGAGGCGTACGACTCAAAGCACAAGCATGAGGCATGCACCTCAATGCGCTTTGCAACAAAATTGCTTGAGGCGGGCAATTTAAACAAGACGCTAAGCACACTCAGAAAAATACTACTAGCCAAAATCTGAACCATTAGCCTCCTAAGGTGCCCGTGTTGAACATTTATTTGTAACAAAAAAGAATGGGTGGGAAAGAAAAAAGGAATGTGCATTTATTCGTAATAAAAAAGGAGGGAAGGATAAGCAAAAGAGGGAAGGGCACCTACTTTGACAAGGTAACTCCCCTGATAAAAGGGGAGCGAAGCCATTATCTTTCAAGGAGGTATCCATTTTTTGTCTCTCTCAACCAATTAACAGTAGAAGCTTCAATGTACTACATAGTGATTAGACCACATTCTATATGAGAGGAACTCCCATCCCTCCCCTTAAATACGCACTAGGTGGGGCAGGTTAAGAACAATAGTGGCAATGAGAAACCTGTAAGAATATTTCACATAGAAGGGGGAGAAATTTGAGGTTAAGGGAGCCCAATAGGGGCAGAAAAAAAAAAGACAAAACCAAGTGAGGGAAAGAGAAATCCCAGGTTGACTGTGAGAAAAAAAGAGATGAGAGAATTAAGAAAACACAAAACTTAATTTATCATCAATAATTGAATACATCCCAGAGGTACCATTACTAAAAAATAGCATATGAATAAAACAAAACAAGGCAACTATGAAAAATTCTAACGAGGATAAACATGAACAAATCTAATCATATCAAAATAAAATCAAATATCATAATCAATAATAAAAATAATTTAAAATAATCCTAAAGAAATATCCAAATTTGCATCAACTTCTCCCAGGATGAAAAATCTTTTGACAAGAGAATTTAAAGGAGGCCACAAAGTGGTGCGGTTGGAACTGATTCGTGCGCATATCTAAGGCCATCCTCTAGAGCAACTTCCAAACAAAATAGAAATGTAGCATGTTAAGGCGAAGGAGATACTCAAATTCCAAAAAGTTGTCTTTGATCTGATACATAAGCAATATGTTCTTGCAGAGTATCTTATATATTGCCAGACTGATCTAGAACAAATGATAAAATCTCTATGTATAATGGTTATATAAAGAGAGGAAGCACACATTATGTAAAGAATTGATAATTATGAAAATACTTTAAAAATGAAATTCTAAATTTTTGTTAGAACAAGAGCATTGTTGCACTGTGCTTGAGAGCACAGCAAGACCAGAAATTTGCCACTGTGGCTTTAAAGGCTCTATTCTACAGTAATTCTAGATTCAACATATAGCGCAACAACGCTGGGTAGCACCTGGGAAAGAGGAGAGAGAAATCTTTTAAAGACTAAAATTGATATTCAGTATAGACTTCAGTGGAAGTAAAAGTTAATGTTAAATATCATTGTATAATGTTTTCTTAAGTTTGTTTAACTTATGATTTCAATGTGGTGATTTTTTTATCATAAAATTTAACTGGTATTTAAATTTGCATGACTTATTGAGCCTTATAGCTCACCAGTTATTTTATATTGGCTATTGTTGAAGGAAAAGGGAAGGAAAAGGTTGTTGCAGAATAATCTTCAAATTATTAGTTTTATATGTTAATGTTTATCTCTATTTGTGAGTCAACATTTGAGGTATGTAGGCGGTTCAGTAATGTATTATTTTGGATTTCTTTAGTGGCTCTATACTTTGAAGCATTTGTTTTGATGTAATTAAATCTCTATTAGATGCTTCCGTTTATGTACTTAAAGAAATGTTATTAGATGTGCTATTTAAAAACTGAAAAAAAAAATATTATATTTATGTGTACGACATTCTACAATACTATAAAGGGGTTTTGTGGGGCGTTACAATGTCTGTACAGAAACTTACCAGTGATCATAATTGTCAAGCATTATTTAACCCTACCTATTGCTTATTTCAGGACCAATGATCAGGGAAGAAGATTGGACTTGTTAAGGAGAGAGATGGACTGCACTACCTGGAAGAGCTGAACAAATCTAAAAATAACTACTCTATGTTATCCATAGTTGACAAGAAATCTATTATCTGGCTTCATAATTTCAAATTAAGACATCCATCCTGAGATGTCTTAAAACATGCATCCAAAATTTTTTCATAAATTAGAAAATGAATATTTTCGTTGTGAACCATATGAATTAGCCAAATATTAAAGAGTCTCTTTTCCAAACAAAAATGAGAGATGCAATACTCATTTCTATCATATTCATAGTGACATATGGGGATCCTAAAAAATCCTCAATATCTCTAGGGCTCGATTGTTTGCATCTTTC